TTGTGGTCTTCTCGGTTTGTTGTTCCTGTTGTGATTTTTGAAGGATGTTTGTGTGTCATGGATTCTGACCAATTGATATCTTCTAGTGTGTGTCGGTTCGTAATTGTTATTAGGTTGCGGTTGAGCATTCTCCAGCTGAATATGTATTTGGTTCTGGTAATGTTCTTGTATGTTTGTGTTATTGTATTCTCCAAGATCTGGCCGTTTCATTCTTGGGACCATCTTTGTTTGTCGTGTCTTTGAGGTATGAAATTTATGATAGAGTCAGCATTTAGGTCTGCTGCTTCTTTGGCCAGCTGGTCTGCTTTGTTGTTGTTTGGATCTTAGTTGTGTGCTTTAATTTTCTTTCCTATGTATTGGATGTGTTGTGAGTTAATTGTATATATGATAGAGTTGATTAGATTGCTGTTGTTTAGTGTTCTTATTTTTGAGTAGTCCTTTTGTGTTTTTTCTATAGTGTTTAGTGCTGCCTGACTGTCGCTATATATTGTTACCTTGCTTTCTGCTGGAGCTGTTATAAGGAAGGAGACTATTGCAACTAGTTCCACTCTGGTAGATAATGAGAATTTTTCGATTCTACTTTGGAAGTTGATTTTTGACATTTGTAGAATGTGTCATCCAAAACCCATAAAAATTGTATTAATTTACAAACTAAAAATATAATTTGATACCATGTATAAAACAAATTATTGATCTAATAATAGTTGAGATAAAAATTTTTCTTAATGAATTTATATTTTTTTTAATATTGACCTTTAATCAACTTATCTTTAATAAAAGTTCTAAAGAAATCATAATTTCTATATTTGATTTTTGAGAAAATATTTTTTAAAGATATTTTAAAAAATTTAATTAAATCAAATTTAATTTTTAAGAAAATATTGATAATAACTTTAATTTTTTTTTTCCTTAATTAGGTTGGTGTCGTTTATTTATTGAATCAAAATAAACCATTACAAATATAAATTGTATATATAAATTTTCTTGACCCAGCTCACCTGTCTGTGACAAAGAGTCTCTAGATGTGATTTATGGGGATAATATATTGCTCGTCCATTAATTGGGATTAAGATCCCATTTGTTTAATAGAGTCAAAGCCTGCAGATCATCTCTACAGATTTTTTTTTCCCTCAATCAGGTTGATGTCATTTAGATAATAACTTTAATTATTTTGTTATATTAATTAAATTCTTTATATAGTTTTAGTATTTTTGTTTACTTATTAAAAAATATGTCATTTCTAATATTATTTGTATTAAAAAATAAGTTATTTTATACTAATTTCAATAACTTATTTGTTTTATTTATCCAAAAGTTAAAAAGAGATTTCAAAATTTTTATAAATTAAATAAAAAAGATGTAATTATTAATTTTTATATTGGAACTAGTTTTTGTTAAAGTAATTATACTCAAAAATATATGAAATATTACACTAGTATTATTTGATGTATAACTATTATTGATTATATATAAGCTGAAATAATTATTCATATGTTTAAAAAAAGTTATATTGGATGTTTTATTTTTACAATTAAATTGAATATTATTATTAATAATTATTTTTTTAATTGATATTAATATGAAGTTTGATTTTTTTATTACAAAATAAAATTTTTTTTCCTTTTTATTAATATTAATATTAATTTTATTTTAAAAAATATGTAAATTATAATTAAATTTGTTTTTAAAAAGTTTTTTTATAATATTTTTTTATTTATATTTAATAAGTTGAAAATATATAGGTAAATATTTTTGAAGATAACAAAAATATTAAATATAATTTTTTTCAAACTTAACTTTTAAATAATATATATATAGTACAAATTATAGAATCATATCAGAAAATTTTCAATCCATTTTCAAAAATAATTACTTATATTAATAATTAAAAAAAGAATTAAAAATTTTCAAGAGCATAAAATTATAAAGAAAGAATTTAATTTTTGTATAATAATTGTCAAGTTTTTTTTTACAAATTTTAAAAAAAAACAAATATAATTTTAAATATTTTATAAATATTTTTTTAAAAATAAACCAGTATTAATCAGATTTTGAATATGTTTGCAAACTTTAATAAACAAATATATATAATAAAAAAAGTGATATAAATTATATTAACATTGTTTTTAAAAATAATTATGATTAGATATTTGATAATATTGATAATAAAGATATTTAATAAAATATATAAAGATTTAATTAATTTATTCTTAAAAAATAAGAATAATTTTTTAGAATCCTTTATTATTTTTTTAAATTTGTAATAAAAATATAAACCAGATTAATAATAATAATTATTAATATAATAAAAAAAAATTTTGGATTCAAGTTATTGTTATCTTATAATAAAAAAAGCTTTAAACTATAAATTTAAAAAAAATATTAAAAAAGATTTAAAATAACTTAAAGATATCTATTATACCAATATACAGTAAAATAAATATAAAAAATGTTTATATAATTTAAATATAGTTTTTTTTAAAAAAAGATTTTTTAAAACCTATCAACTTTAATTCAAATTGCTGATAGTAAACTTTGTTACATATAAAAAGAAGTTAATTTTAAACTAATCTATTTTAATTTGAAGCTTATAGGTTTATCCCAATTATTATATTCTATAAGAACTTAAAAACATAAACTGAAGAACAAAGTTATTAATCACAGATAATAAAAATTTAGACAAAAATCATTAAGTCAAATGTATCTAATAAGAATTATACAAGATTAAATTGAAATCTAAGCATTACAAGTAGCATAATATTGTATTATGCTAGTGGCATATCTTGAGAATCAGTAATAACAAGTGACTAGAATAACTAAAATCAATTTTTATAATAATATTTTATATAATCTTTTTTTAGTAGGCAGCTGAAAAATATGATTAGATCAATAGAAAAATAGATTTAAACTAGTAATAGAATTTTCTCCCTCCTGTGTAAGTTCCACCTAGTGTAGGCTTATCTACTTGATACAAGTCAGTCAACCAGGGTAGTCAGATTGGTCTTTAAAAAAATAGTACTATTGAAAATAGTAATTATTAGATAGTATTAATTTATATTCTAGGATAGCAATAGTCTAGTCTATAAAGATATTTGATGTAATGATAGAATATATAAATATCAATAAAGTCTCGCATTTAATGCCCTTAGCCAATTAAAAAAATAAAATAATAAATAAAATAAAATAATAATAAAATAAAATAATAAAATAAAATAATAAAATAATAAAAAAAAAAATAAAAAAATAAAAAAATTTTTGCTAAATGATGTGTCATATCACGTGGGTATCTCCTTAGAAACCGACGCATTTAATTAATTCTTGTAACGCATTTATGCACAATTAAATATCGTGTAGCACAATTGTTTAAACGTTCCGTTGATAAACTCTCGAAATCGCGCGATATCTTATACAAACCTTTAGTTAAAATATGGCAAAAACTAGAGGTTATTGGTTGTCTACCGTTTGTTCTTTTTTAATTACATTATGCCTAAAACTTCCAGTACTTCGAGTCGAAAATCACGCAAGGAAATTAATGCAGCTTACAGGAAGCGTAAAAAAGATAAACTAGAGTCTCTTAAATCTGAGGCAACTGAATCTAAAAATGTTATTTCCAGACTTTTGGGACAAATTGATATTCTCCGGGAGGAGAAAACACGGCTCGAAAACGAGAACCGTGAATTAAAAAAAAGGTACTATTTGTTTTTGTTATTTAGTTACTTATCGTTATATAATCTTATTACTTTGGTTTATGATTCTTTCTAGCACCAGACCAGTATTTTTATCAAGCATAGGTAAGAAAAAGATTTCAATACAGTTGAGGTTTGCACTTGTTATAATTAATAGACCATATTCCTATCCGTATATGCTAAAAAAAAAAAAAGCGCAATAATCAAGGATGATTTAAAAAAATTATTTTATATGACAGTAATACATATTAAATATATATTATTACAAGGGTTTAAATTTTTATATAATCTTGAGAAGAAATTTTATTTTACATTCTTTAACAATCTTATTATTTTTTTCCTATATAATCAGGTCCAGTGGCCTTTACTTCCTTCACCAGTGAACAGCCTTCGGTAAATTCGACTGGTAATTATATTATTCATTTAAGACATATCTACAAAAGTGACCATAAATAATTTAGTGATTCTGAAAATAGGTATTGAAATTGGGGCGTACTCCTCTGATGAACAATCTTCAACGCTTGGTAACTACAGTATATTACCGTATACGTATTTATTTACATTCTTTAATAATCATTAATATTTTTTTCTTATATAATCAGATCCAATAGCCTTTGCTTCCTTTACCAGTGAACAGTCTTCGGTAAATTCGACTGGTAATTATATTATTTACAGTATTTAAGACATATCTACAAAAGTGACCATAAATAATTTAGTGTTCTGAAAATAGGTATTGAAGTTGAGCCTTACTCCTCCTGATGAACAATATTCAACACTTGGTAACTACAGTATATTGCCGTATACGTATTTATATATGCATTCACAAGTGATTAAATATTTCCTAAAAACAGATATTCGAGATATGACGTCTTATGATCCTTCCTCCGGTAGATAACTTCTATCGCTTCTGGCAGTTAGCTATACCTCCTCGTAAGGCATCGTGGGTCGTTGCTCATCTAAATCGCGATTCTGTGATGAAATGGTGATATGCGGGGATGGAATGAAGATTTGCGGAAATTTAAATTTAAGCTTTTTTTAAGAATTTTTTTTTCGGGTTTCAGCGTTTTTTTTTTCGGATTTCGGGAGTTTTTTTTTTAAGAATTTTTTTTTCGGATTTTAGGGGTTTTTTTTAAGAAATTTTTTTTTTCGGATTTCGGGGTTTCTTTAAGAATTTTTTTTCGGATTTCAGGTTCTTTTTTCGGATTTATCTTCGATTTTATACTATTTTTTTTTTCGGGTTTTTCTTTCATTTTTTTTTTCGGTTTTGTCTTTTGGGGGTGGGAATCAAGTTCCACAATTTTTGAGCACCAATTTATGCATAATTATATCATTTAAATATGAAATCCCGTATTATATCTTTAAAATAAATTTTCGGATTTTATTCCGGGTATATAAAATTCGCAAATTTAATATTACTAATATAATTCTTACATGTTGTGGGTGGAGTAAATGGATTCTCAAAATATGAGATGAAGTGAAAGGGTTTGCCGAACGTAAGATGAAGTAGATGGGTTGGCAAAATGTGAAGTAGAGTAAATAGGTTCGTAAAATGTGAAGTGATATGGATAGATTTACGAAACGTAAGTAGTGACTGGGCTCGTGAAACGTGAGGCGAAGTAAATAGACATGTGAAAGGTAATGTGGTGAGTAGATTTGTGAAACGTGAGGTGGAGTGGATGAGTTCACAAAACATGAAGTAGAATAGGTAGGTTTTCAAAACGTAAGGTGAATAGGTTGCGAAGCGTGAAGTGGTTCACAAAAAGTGAAGCAAAATAATTTTTTCAAGATCCGATTTCAAAATTAACAACTGTTCGCCTTGCTTCTTATAACCTTATCAAGCTATATGCTATTATTATTAATCATTTTTTCAATCAGAATAAAAGTATTTGATGGGTAGGTTTGCGAAACGTGAGAGGGTTCATGAAACGTGAAGTGGAGTGAATAAGTTCGCGAGATGTAATGTGGGATAAGTAGGTTTGCGAAACGTAAATGGAGTGGAGTGAATGAGTTTGTGGAGTATAAAATAAATGGGTAGGTTTGCGAAATGTAAAGTGAAGTAAATGAGTTCGCGGAATATGAAATAGAATGGGTAGTTTTGCAAAACATGAGGTAGAGTGAATGGGTTCGTGGGATATGAAGTGGATTGAATGGGTTAGGTTTGTGAAACATGAGATGGAGTAAATGGATTTGGGAAACAAAGTAAATCTGCGAATTGTGAGGTGAAGTGAATGGGTTCGGGTGAAATGGGTAGGTTTGCGAAACTTGAGATGGAGAGAATGGAATCGTGAAACATGAGATTTAATTATTAGGTTTGCAAAACATAAAGTGATTAGTTCGCAAATGTTAAGTAAAATGGATAAATTTTCTAAACATAAGATGAAATAAATGGGTTCATAAAACATAAGGTAATGTACAGTATGTTGCAAAACTTTTTGGAATTTTTTTTTAAATTTTTAAAATTTTAATTAATAATAAATTAAAAAATAAAAAAAATTTTTTATAAAAAAGATATAATATTATTGTTATTATTAGCCAATTTTTAGATTTATTTTATTTAAATTTACAAAGTTATAAAATTTTATACTTTATTTTTAGTATTATAAAAAAAATTATTTTAAAATTTAAAATTTTAAAAATTTACATATTAAAAATTATATAAAATTTTTTTTTAAAAAGTAAAAAATCTATAAATTAAATTACTAAATTTTTAAATTTATTGGAATTATAATAATTTTAATGAAATTTTTATTTGTAATCAATTTTTAATATTTAAAAAATTTAATTTCAAAATTTAATTTTAAAAAATTTTAAAACCATTTTTATATAAAATTTATATTATTATAATCTCTAGATTTAAGCTTTATTTTGATATATTATTTATTAATTTTTATGCAATAGTTTTTGAATAACAAATAAATAAAAAATTTCAAAAAGTTTTGCAACACACTGTAGGTAGACTTGACAAATAAAAATTTGTGATTTGTAGCAAAATTGTTAAAACCATGAGAATCCAAAATTATATATAGCTACTTCTATATTTTAAATTCTATTTCATGTTAAATTAAATCCCAATGAAATGAGATAACAAAGAATTTTTTATATTTTAATAAATATTTGTAGATTGTTTAAATAATTTCTCTTATATCTTTAATGATTTTTATCTTAAAAAAGAATTTCTATATAATTATCTATGTTAAATGTAATAAGGATTGAAATAATATTTTTCCAATTTCAATATAAATATAGGTATTAAAAATAATATTATAAGAAAATAATATTTAGTTTTTAAAAAAATCAATCAATTTTTTAAGAACATAATATTTTGAATTGTTTTTTTTTAGAATTTATAATATAAAAGAATTTGAAAAAAATTAATTGATATAATTAATTATAAATAAAAAGTTATAAAACAAAATTTTTAAAAAAAAACAAATTATCAATTAAGGAAATACAAAAATTTTCTTTTCAAAAAAACAACAAAAAACTTTGGAAGATCATTTTTATTCTTCAAGAGCCAACATACTGAATCTTTACATATATTATTAGATGTTTTTATTACTGATGTTAACAAATATCTATAATTATTTACAAAAATAATAACACTAATATAGTATATATTACTATCCCAATCACATATATCTGCCTATCAAAGTTTAAAAACTTATTCAAAACTTGACTCATACCTATTTGTCTTTAAAAAAATAAATATAAAAGTCTTAAAGTCATATTTATTTCCTTTGAAATCTGTAAAAAAAGACTTGGCAATCACAATATAAAAGTCAAATTCTTTTTTTTTTTTATTCTTATTGAAATTTTTCATGTTGCTTATTATTAAAAAATTTTAAAATATTTAAAATATATAATAATAAATAAATTGTTTATTATTTTGTTTACATTATTTACATATTATATATAAAATAATTCAAAAAAAATTTTTTTAATTATATTTATTTTATTATTATTTTTTACTTTTGTATTAAATTTTTAATTATATTTATTTTATTATTATTTTTTACTTTTGTATTAAATTTTTAATTAAATATATAATATTAATTTTTTTTAATTTAATAAATAAATTTAAATATAACTTTTAATTAGAAATCAAAGTTTTAAACTGAAAATCAATTGATCTATAAATTGGTTTTGGCTAAATTAATTTGATTTTTAAAATTTTCAATCTAATAAGATTCAATTTAATTTAATTTTTTAATTCAATAAGATTTAAATTAGTTTGATTTTAAAAACTTTTACTGATATAAAAAAACTCTTTTCCGTTTCCTTCAAATTTTTGAAAAACTTTCCTTTTTAGAAAACTTTAATGAGACAAGTTTGGGGTCTTATCAAGTTATCTTTTTCTCTAAAAAGAAACTTTTTCACTTTTTTTATCACTATCGAGAATAAAAATTCTCTTCTAAAGAAGCTGACTAGTTGTCCCCTTTCATGATAGTCTAAGAGATTTAGGCTAAGTAGAGCTGGGTGTTATGGGTGGAAGGTCAAATCCCAGATTTATTGGATGAAAGACTAGCTCCGTTTCTTCAAGACAAAGAGTTACCTCTGCTAATACCAATACAACAAGTCTTACATATTCTAAAGACCTATTACATATGAGCCTATTTTAAGAGTTTAGTTATAAAGACTCAAGCTGTATAAGGATGGGACTCTTGGTCAAATTCCTCAAGACTAGGTATCTTGTGGATGAAGGTTGTATAGAGAAAGACCTTTGGTTTGATATCTTTTTTGCTCATATATATAGAAGCATCTTGGTTTCTTTTTTTTACACCAAAAACTGAAATCAGCTTACCCTCATCAAAAGATCAACATTATATTCCAACCAATCACAACTCACCAAAATTGCACCATCGATTATCACAATGACATTAACAATAACAATAACAACAATACCACCACTAACAACCTATCACGTGTTAATATCAAATAGATAACCTTGAAGAGAACAATGATGTGGACACTAACGTATGTGCATTAAACATAGCAGTGTTGACGGCTTACTGAGTATATAGGAGTTGCATCTTGTTTGACAGTTTTTCTCTTAGATTTGGCAGCTTAAGCCAACCAAATCCTTTGGAGTGTCTACTAGGAGATTTTAGAGTCATGTCCTACTTGGCCTTTGAAGCCCCTAGATTTGATAGTCTGTGCCAACCAAAGATTACAGTTTCAAAGCATTTACTAGGAAGTACATACCTACATCAGCCCCCCTCTGTTTCCATAGTTGCGTGAGCTGAAGTTGTGATGTGAAAAGTTGTTTACTTAATATTAACATGTGTTTAATTTCTTTTTTTTCATCTTTTATTAAAATTGCATGGTCTGTTATGCAACTATCTAAACAATATATTAGTTTTAAATTTTCTTTTCTAATATAGTTTAGATAGATATTTTGGTAAACTAGCATTTAACTCATGCACTATAAGAGATGTAAGTTCTTTTTCAAAGTTATATTTTAGTATATACGTATAATAAAGAACTGATGTTTATCAAAAAAAAAGAAAAAACTTTTACTGATGTAACCATAAAACAAATAAATAAAACAGCTATTCAATGGATAAGTGGATAAGGGGGAGAAAAAGAAAACCTAATTAAATTAGATCAGTTTAAATCAAAACTAATTTTAGATTTTTTATATTTTATATTTAAATAAAAACAAAAAAAAAATTAAATTAAATTAAAATATATAAAGCAATAAACAAAAAAATCAAAAATTTTTACAACTTAATTCTGTTTTATCAATGTAGTATTATAAATAAAAAACTTTTAATAATTTTATTTTTGTTATTTTTATTTTTATTTTATATTTTAGTAAGCTTGTTTTATGTTGATATTTTTTTTATTCTAATAGTTATTATTTAACTTTTTTTTAATAATTTTTTTACTAATTTT